CTGTCAAGAAAAGAATATTGCACAAAGCTAAATGTTAAGACAATATTACTGTGGACGATGAAATATTATCAAAATTCCTAGTACACTTCGTACTGATTTTGAATGTTTTTTTAGTAATCTTGATAAGCACGATTAATCACAAGTTATGTTTGTGAAAGCAAAATCTTGTTTATATTACAATGTTTAATAATTATTCGGTACGTTTCGGTCCGCAGTTAGGAGGCCGTTTCAACGGAGATTTGGTACAACGCCTGGTGTAAATCGTCGTGAACCATAAACATCCCATTAGACTGTAAATCAAACAAAAGAAGTTGTTCGGTAATATCCCGTAAACGAAGGAAAAAGGGAGAGATAAAGTGTACGAAAGCTGAGGGGCGTAAGAAAGACGGGGGAAGGACAAATTGTCCAAAAAAGATAAAAGGAAAAAGACTTCGGAACGAAAATGAGTTGTCAAATATATAAGTACACAGGATGCTTTAAATCAGTTTGAAATTTCATCTCTTCGTAATACTTCTGGCTCTTCCAACTTCCGATTAATTGATACATACAGTGAAGAGCAAAATTGAAACAACTTTTAAGATTGAATAACTTTTTTAAAATCGAACCAAACGTTTCGAGAAGTTAGATGGAATAGATTAATAAATGATGAGCAAAAATAAGTTCCAACAATTGGAATTCACGTTTCTTACCAGTCTCAATCTTCTCGTGTTGCACACCAATAACTAAATTAATCCATCTAACTCCTCAAAATATATCAAGCCATTTGCTCCAATTTTAAAAAATATATTTAATCTTGAAAGATACTAGTTTTCCTCTTTACTGTAAATATTCTTACAATTTACAAAACTAAATCGTAGTCCTTAATCTTGGGTATTCAACAAAACTATGAAATTGTTAGAAAATATTCTTGCTTCACTTTTCGCAAATGAAAATATTCGCAAAAAGACACGATGCCCATTGCCAGTCCAAACTCTTGAATATTGTATTCGCTCTTGAAAACGTAACGAATAACACTTCTAAATAGTATTGTGCTACATATCATTCCGTTCGGACGGCGAAACATCGGGCAATTAAAAGTCGCGTTCTTGCTGGAAGCGGGAAATGTCGCGGTGCGGCACGTTTAAGAATCGAGGCGTTTAAGAGTCGACGCTTTCGTTCACACGTGCGTAACGAAAACTCGCGGCTCGAGCGCAACGACGCCTTCGCGGAGTAAAATAAAGAGACATCAGCGCGCAGTACGCGAGACAAGATTTAAGGCCGTCTGAGTATTCATGTCTGAATCTCCTTGCGTATCTTCCACTTGTCTTGCACGCTCAGTAACAGCGAACGCCGTTCGCGACAGGTAGGTATCCGCATATTGTACGTATATGTATGTATGTAGTTATTGCGTTTTATTGAAATCGCCGTTCTTTGTTCACAATGCGTTTATCGCGCGATTAGAGGAAGAGATCAGAAGGCGCGAGAGAAATGGAATGTTGAAGTAGAGACAAAAACGCTTCGTGACTAAAATTTAGTAGAATGTAGAAGCGATCATAAATGTAAACATTCTCCTCAGGCAATATTAAAAATATTGAGGAGAAAATAATACTTAAACGATTTTATTAATTATTTCATTGTATTACAATTAAAATATATCTTTTAACGCTATACGTATTTAGAATACGTATAACTGTTCACGGAGATTGTATAGCCAAAACCAGCTTAAGTTAATGGATAATATTTTCACAGAAATATAGATTTGTTGTTTTTTAACTGTACAAATTGACAACTTTAACTAGCAATAAGAACTTTCTGACCGATTGTCCTGTTTCTCGGCTCATATTTACAACACTTTCATGTTGCTTTACAACCCGTTAAGTGCTATTTTGTCAAAGGCTATATCTGCCTGGCAGATCCGGTCGATACTAACTTCCGCTTCACGTTTACTGGAATAACTTCTGTCAAGACAGTTTTCCGTGCACGATAAACTTCTTGTGACAGCACCTCATAAAGTAATGCATTCACAGTATTTAAAGACCACTGAAATTTTCCAGGACAACATATACATACACATTTTAACCCAATTACTGTTGAATGAAATGATTTTTACGAATGAATGGCGATGTCACAGTCACAGATGAGAAAAACACTTTCGACTTATTTATGAAAATATTAATAAACGAAATCAATTCTTTGATGGGATGTTGTTTTCGCAACGAGCGTTAAGATACATGGCCTCGCGCGCACGCATAACGACCGGTCGTTTAACTTTAGATTCAGTAAGGCTCAATTAGAGTCGTGTCGCGTTAACGAGTGCCGAAATAGCGCCGCATTAGCGTGATGTACCGATTAGCCAGCTCGGAAACGCCTACAAACAGAAGAATCGACGCATGGGTATAAACCTACCACGGGACTATTTATGACGATTAAGCAATAAATTATCCGTGGAAAGTAATTAAATTCATCAGTTTTACTTATATTATACACATGTACCTACAGTCCTCTCTTTTTTCATCACAAACATAAGTGAATTTTAACTGAAGAGCTTTTTACAATACCCTTTAAAATAAAGTAAATATCCCAGCTCCTACTCACGTCTTATGATTTTTTATCTGTTTCTTCTAAATTTCAAAAGTTTCATAAAAATTAGTTAATATTGATATAAATTGCAAATGATTAGAAATTAAGTCGCAGATGTTCACGACTTTTGGCCTGCAACGGAGTGTGAGATAAATTGAAGAACTTTTACATATCTCGATGTGTTTAAGTTTTCATGCTTGCATCGATTTTTATGAAACTCTGTACATGCATATGTATACAATTTAGGCTAATACTGAAAAGGTTATCCAGTTTCATAAGGTACTCGAATACTTCCTACACCGACCGCATGTCAATTGGCCAATTTTTGGTTTTGTTGTTATAAGTCCTGGAAGTCTTAAATCCCATTTTTTTAATACTATGCGTAATATGTTACTCAGTGGTTAAGACGGATGTCCATTAAAACACGGCGCAATGGGCCAGACTATTTCGGGTGGTATGATTCGTGTGCGTGAACGGCGTTATTAGATGCAACCGGTCACGTGGGTGTATTTACGTCATAACGAGTATGCAAAGCGATCGGCGTTAACGAGCCAGCTCGCTTTCAGCACCGCGCGCGTTACCATAAGCCCACCGACAGCGACCCTCGTATTTTTATCGTTCGCCCGCAAACGCCGCCACGCCGATGAACGTGTTTCCCATTAAGTTGCTCGCTATGCCACCCCCGCGTCGCGCTTCCTTAACGAGCGTGTTTATCCGGCCGATCTTGGCGCGAGCCAATCCACTCGCAGGATAATGATGTGCGCCTTATCCTGATGTCAATCGGCTTGGCCTCGCGTCATCGAGATCGGGCTCGCTTAACACAGACTGCAATCTGATATGTAATCTCGTAGCTTTTCTTTCACTTCGGCTTCTACTCTCGAAAGTTGATCCATGAATTACACAATCCAATAAAACAAAAGATCTATTTCCATTTTTTGCACTAGGAGATTCTTATAGGGTTTCTCATCCCAAAAAAGAGATTGATCTATCAGTTAATGTTTCCAAAAAATAGCGGTTTTTGTAAAAATGTACGATTTTCGGGAAAAGTGAGGAAGTTCATTTTATCATAATCAACAGATAGAAATTTTCTTAGATTTTCGGGAAAAGTGAGGAAGTTTATTTTATCATAATCAACAGATAGAAATTTTCTTCTATTCTCTTACTTGAAGAAGAATAAACAAATAGAAAAATGTAGATACTGGAGTGGAAGAATTAGTAAGTATCTGTTAATAAAAATAAGAATTATAATTGCTTCGCACACAGAGATTCGAGTTAATAAACTCCGATCACGAATCAACGAAGTCACGTAGTCATGCTCCTTGCTTATTAATCACGTTTCATTCTCATTTCGTCCAATTTATTTTTCCTTCCTACTACCGAATTATATCCTGCTCGGAATAATTGAAAACTCATTTATGTAGAAGTCACTGTGGTTCTCGGTTAATTAATTATAAAAACTACAAAATTGGATTGGATTCTTAATACCATCTTTCTTAATCTTTCCCTCATGCAACTTTAAAAGCTGAATAAGAAAATCTCTTCCAAATGCCGGAAATCCCAGATAAAAATACGTTCCGAAGGTGTTTGTAAGACAATTTTGATCTAACAGGGATAAATCGTCTCAAACAATGACTTTTACTACATAAACGCAGAGATCCGATGACCATGTGTCCGCAATTTCGATGAAAGCGCATAACTCTATCACTCCTTGCAGCATTGTTCGCTTCAAGTGTGAGACACGAGCACGGCGAGTTCTACTGTCCGTCAATTAGGATCAGACACAGACTAGGAAAACAGAACAACTGGCAGACTGATGAACTAAGGCTCGCTTTATTCCACAAAATGCTATACGAACGAGAAATTCCCGAGCGTCTTAATCATATGCATTCACTAAATTTCAATTAAAAATCTGTCAATCTTTACGAAAAGAACTTCCCCTTTAATAGGAGTTATTTAATTGGGATCTAAATTTATCCTTCGGGATGAGGTGTCCTACTACTCTTAGGCGGGGGTGTAGATACTAGGAGTAAAAAAGTTGTGATAAAATTCATTCTGGCAAAAAGAAGCTGAAAGGCCCTAAAATATGTCGTAGCGGGCAGGCTCGTCGTAGGCGGCAATTAACGAAAAATCGATGAGAGAGTATCAAAACTTGAACCCGCGAATTGCAGTTGGTCCAGGTTTGGATTGTATGCGACGGATCGCGTAAAGGACAAAAGTGGAATCCAGAGGCAGCAAGATGGCGGTTCGCAGGTCGGGTAGGCACGCCCGGTCACGCAGTTGGCTCGTATCGTGGCCAATCGAAGCCACGGTTGTACCACGTCCGTGCGATTCCGCGGCCACGCCAGCTGCCACGCCGCGAACGAGTCGGCGCGCTACAGCTCCGCATCAGCAATTGAAATGCGGCTCCACGTCGATCGCCAGTTGCCCGTCGACCCGTGCTCGATACAGTGCTTACGACGTCTCATTTTTCCATCCATCTTCTGGCCACCCAATCGCAGCTCTCTTCGTGTCACGCATAATCGCGATAAGGAAGATTTCAAGAAGAATCAAAAGTCAAATCGCATCAACGATCTTCGAGCTGCAAGTTAAAATAGTGTTCGCCAAAGTTTGGCACTTCAGGGATTTGAATTTCGATGGGAACAGGTTCATATTTGTGATTTGGAACTGTCTGAAACAGTGAACTGAACTTTGGAGAAGATTTTATTCGAAATTACAATTGCATCTGTGGAACGGGTGTGATATTGTACGTAGTAGGAGATAGTGATTGATCGTGAGCAGAAAGGGACTCACTTTCTTACATTTTTATTTATCACAATTTAATTTATTACAACAAACATTATGTGGATGTATTGGAAAGATGCCCGTCGGAAGTGGAAGCTAATTATTAAATGCAGTTGAAAGTTTAGCTGACATTATTGCTAAAGAAGTTAACAAGAAATACGAATATTAACATATGAACTGTCTCTGTAAATCATTTCATTAAAAATAAGCGTTTATCCTGTAATTCTTCAGATGATACTATACCAAATAGAATTTAAGTTCTAAGAAGTCCAAGTGCCATTAAGATTGTGACGTGCAAGTGACGTAATTCTGAGGTGCAAATATGTATAACTGTTGATGTTATAGAAATATGACAAGGAAGTATACATAATTAATACATTTCATACACTAAGAGATATGCACTTATGTGTAAAACAGTACGGATGCAAGTGAAAAAGAATTACGTTAATAAATAAAATTCGATGGAGAATGTGTCCTGACAATTGTCCTGTACATACAGATATTCATATAACGATATTAAATACTGCATGATACAAATGGAATTATAATAGACTTTATCAAGTGCTAAAATTTTAATATATCTGCTATGTGCGTTTAAGAATTAGGAAAATTCACTTTGTAGAGTTTATACTATTCAGCTCGAATTTTATACTCGTGAAATCTCAAAGGATGAACATTATTCTAAACATCTACAAATAACAAATGGACACATACGTGCAATAATAGATATATTTAGATACAAGGATTTCAAGAATTGAGGCTAGCAAATCACGAGATTACATTGAATTCTGATATACGAATGAACACAGGGACGTGTCACAGAAAGATAGATAAAATACATAGTGAAATGTACAGACATGGAACGACACATTGAGCATTAATATTTATCGTGAACATTTGATCAATTAACGAAAAATGGATTCTAACGTGGAAGAAACGGACTTGGACGTCGGATCCGCGAGCGACGAACTTGAATCTTCGATTGGGGAGTCAAAGTGTCGGCCGACACCAAAACCCTTTACGATTGAAAGTCTGATCGGTAATTGTGGCGGACGGAAAGGAAAGTGTGACCAAGATTCACCGGGCGAGAAGACGAACGAAAATGAAGAGGACTCCGAACGAGACAGGCAATATCTTTATCAGAGACACTACCTGGCTACCGCAGCTGCCAACGCACTATCTCCTGGTTGGTTCCTCTTTCAGTCGCATGCTAAACATTCTTTAGGCGTTTCTGATAGCTGGCAAAGAGACTGTTTTAGGATTCTTATAGCAGTAATAGTTATGTATTATTATGTTGTTAGTTATACAGAAATATGATTATCTACGTACAAATCATGAAGGTTTGTGACCAGCCATTGAAGTTTGTTACGATATACCATTTTATATAAATAACAACTGCATTATAGAATATGTATAATATTTTCTTATATGCAAGAATTAGAAGTCCTTTTTAAGGGCGATTGCACGTGTCGAGGTCAACACATAAGGAATATGCGGTCTAGTTTTTAAGAGTCGCCAACATTCGAAACATTGTGTCTATCAAAAGACAGATTGTATTATAATAAAAGTATTTTGAGGGTCTGGTCACGAAGTGGGGAAGGAAATGAAATCTTTTTCTTGGGAACAGGACTGTGAAATTATCGCGACATTTATCCCAGACGTTCCGGAGACAGTGTTTTTACCCTAATACACTACTTATTACACTTGAGTGCAATTTAGTGCTGACATTTCAATTTGGTACCAGCTTAAGTAATTATAACAACTTTAACAATATGACAATTTAAATTTCGTTTTCCTCTTATTCATATAGAAGAGCCAGTGCATGGTAGATTTGGTGTTAATAAATATGATTGAATTTCAATTGCGGTCAAACATAATTTGATTGAATAGGTCATTTCGATTTCGAGTCACGATTTTGTTGAATTATCCGTAAAATACGAAATATTACATACGCCCCGCTGAGATAGAATCTTATAAATAGAATGCATTGATATAAATTGTTGTGTTGTACCATTTATTAAATGGTGTTTCGGTTACTATAAGAAATTAACATTTTTCAGCGAACCTTTAATTTATACATACGTATTAATGAATTGCTGCAAACTGTGAATTTCATTAGTGTCAGAGAAACGACTAAAACAAGTTTAATCAATGATTAATTATTATCCATTTTATAACCATTTTCGTATTCCAAAATCTTGTAATTGTCAGTTATATTTAGCATGCATAATTTAATCTGTGCATGCCCTACTTACGTTGCAAGTAGAAATCTAACTCTTAAAATAAGCTCGTTGAATATTAACTATTACATTGAATTAAAATCACCATAAGTTCTAAATGCATATTAAAACATACAATGAAATGTCTCTTAATCTACATGCATATGGATAATTCATTGAATGGATGATACTAAACGATTTTACATGTAATATGTAAACTCGTAAGGGAAGTAAATTAATTGTTAAAATATTACTCCTTCTCTTATCTACATTATTTACAGAGAGTGTTCTTTACTCTATTCGCTGACATGTATGTCATAATAATCACCCATCATCGTGATCAACCATGAAATTACTTTTGTTCTTCTATTTCTCACTGACTTCATTAGGCTTAGTCCTGTTCACTGCTTGGCATCTACTCTGCGTTTTTTTTTACATCTGTTCATCAATTGCTCTTTCCTATCGGTCTTTTACCTACCTTTGTTAGTTCCTATGTATAACTACCTCCTATGTATGATTTACTGCTCTATAAGTAAACAGTATTAGTCTACATATATGTATGTAGTGATTCCCATTTCTGGTTTGTCACACGATCTAAAATACTCAAATTACGGTTTAAGATTTTTTGCTGTCATATCTTTTAAATCCCAAAATGTTTATACAGTGACGATTATGTATCCTAATAATTGTTCGTTCTTCCAGGTTTTGGAGTGCCACTCGGTTTGTACAGTGCATGGCTACCAATGCGGATGTACGGGAACGGTAGTGCTTCCGGTGTTCCAATGTTACCAGCGCACACGTCCGCCAGTTATCCGTCTCACCAGGATCTTTATCAAAGCCGGCTGTCACAACATTTGGGTCCAGGTCCGAATCATCTCCAAGGCGCGGCTTATCCAACTGGTTCTCAGCGAGCAACGAATCATCGTGGTTCGACCAGCTTCACGGACAGCGAAGATGATGGTAGCATCGATTCACCGGCATCACCTGCTCACGATCTATCCAAATCGAGACATGGTAAGCTTGTGATTTAAATTCATTGGTTTCGTTTCCCTGTTTCTTTTTTTTTAGCGATCGTTTCTTACTGAAGCTCTAATCAGGAAGTTTAATTTATTTTAGTGATATCATATTCTTTATTTGTTGTATAGTACACACATATTTTATTTTATTTTTTTTTTTACCAAACTGTTTGATTTTTATTTATACAGATTTTAAATTTTGTGATCTCTTAGTATTTTTCTAGTGCTACTCAGTTGGATAGGCTTGAATAATCCATATTACTGTTTCGTAGAAAATTGTATGTAATATGAATAAAATAACATAGTAGATATGTAAAATAATGAATTGTAGATTTGTTGTAAATATTTGTTTTCTCATCTATCGCAAAGCATTAAGTAATTACTGTGATTGAACACTTGAGATTATTCATAAGGAAGCCAGAAGCCTGTTAGATTTTCAACGATGACGCATTTTTCAAGTGAATACATCAATATAAACTAATGTCATCTACTAATTCGTAATGCAAACGAATCTAAACTAGTAAGCGAGAATCTTCACTAAAATTTCTTTGTTTAACATAAGCTTACACGCATAAATACATATTTATATCAATTTTTACACGAAGCTGTTAAAGTGAGAATCACTCTATTTGTAACTTCTTTTTCTTTGCTTTTTTATTAATGCCTTTTGGAATAAACATACGTACACATACATATGTATACTTACATCGATGTGCAAATTATACTGTTCATAGTTCACAGCGCGTAGTACCTGCACCTGCTACTAAGATTAAACTTAGTGTCCGTCTGCAATCATTTATTAATGATAATGCATTACATGGAATCGTAAAATAGCGATTTATCTATGTAAGTACATTTTGCTATTAACTTACAGCCATTCGTATTCGAGGCACGAACAAGCTCGATACCATACCCAGACGTATGACGGTCGTTAACAGAATGCGGGTGTCTGATCGTTTCAATTATTCCTTGCACTGACGAAATGTAGTACCAATTAAGTTGTAGTTAAGATAAAGGTCAATCAATAAAACTCTTTAATCCGCCATAATTAATTCAGTAACGGATATTATTATGATTGTGCGATCTTGATAAATGTTCCAAAACTGATGCATCGTAAATGTATTAATTTCTGTTCACCTCACAATTCTTACTGGTGTATTTTTTATACTATTATACATATGTATAGAGACATAATTCGGTGAGTAGAAATTAAGATATCTAGCTTAACATAATTTAAAGCGATTCATCCATAGTATAGAAATGATTCATTTATTAACGGAGGTCGAGAAATCTGAACAATGATTATATTTTAATATAAGTTGGTATGTTCGGCACTTCGTTATGGGAGACGCCTTCGAGGAATTTTGTGTTCACGTTTCATTCAATTCCTATTCAACGGAAAATCTCTACAATAAATTACAGATCGGATCGATGTTCGTGAACGTCAGTCCCACCGTTCGAGGAACAAGGGTCGTTCCTCGAACGGTTTGTCTGGCGTTTGAAATTCGGCCAGGACTGTATCACGTACTTAATGCGTGTGTGCGTACGGAATTTTGCACGTGTCTGCGAGCCGCATATAACATTTCGCATTGGGACGGCAATAATTTATGCACGCTACTGTGGATCTCGGTCCCTTTGCCGGCTTGAATCGTGGCGACTGCGATCACAGTCGTTGATACGCTCCTGGAATCCATAAACGATTCATCGCGATTTTTTTTTGCGTTTCGCGTTCCTCGGATGACATGCAGCTGACATTTCTACTACTTTGCTTTAACTTTTGTTAGAAAAAATTTTCTATCAGAATTTTCTTTGATTTAT